ATGGATAATTTACTTTTGTTGCATGGATTGGCCTATAAAATCATAGTCCCCTGTGATGGACAAAATATCCGGTATGATAGCTAGCTTTGAAGTTTTTGAAAACTACTTTAAAAATATATTACGTGTAACATTTAATATTTTTGGTACATAATTTAAAAAAATAATAATGGGAAAATAGATTACACACAAATGCATTCGGCATGTAAGTTTTTTAATGTTATACAATGAAAGGATATTTTTTTTTAATAAATTTTATCCCTTAAAACTTTGTTGGTCACAATGTATTTACAAAACTCTAATCATGAACAAACTTGAACTTTCGAATGATTCCAAAAGCAAAAGTTAACTTATACCAACCACCACATTTTTAGAGAACATTTCTGAAGATAGTGATGTCATTGAGGAGGAGGAGGAGGAAAATGAAGAGCCAAATACATAAAATTGTGTTCTAGTTTACATTTTCCAACTTGGAAAGTTAGTATAAAGTATATTAAACAACAAGGATTTAAAACGAAAATAAGTCCTTGTTTGAAGGTACCATTAAAGAAAGAAACCATCTTAATCACAAAGAACAAACCGTAATTGACATTTAAATCTTTTGCGTCCTATCAAAAATAATCCAAATGGCCTTATATATGGTGTGCTATAAAAGTTTGCCTAAACTAAATTGTGATGATGCAGAAACTAATAATTTGAAACTCAGTTACTCTGCCGAAACTCAATCACTGTGTCAAAGCTATAATTTGTAGCCAAAACTTCGATTTTTGTTGAAACTATTTTATAATGATTAGACATTTTCTTTTGAAACAAATTAATTATTGTTGAAATACAAGAAATCTTATTATTATTGCAAAACATTTAATATTATTATTATGTAGAAGGTGTTATAATTCTTTGGTTACATTGGTATCAACAAAGGGTAAGTTTGGTGAGGTGTTTGCTTTGGCAGATTTTGGTGTTGTTGGAAAATGCACTAGTTGAATACCATATTCTGGATCATTATCTTCTTAATCTAAGTCTATGATTTCCAAATCTGAAAATCTTCATTAGCTATGTAAACACTCTTATTATTCCCACAAAGCAAACAATGAATAGATTACCCAAAGAATGCATTTGCTTAGCTTTATTGATAATATATTTAGGAAGATACTTCTCACGCCTTCATTTTCAATTTTGTAATTTGTAGATGATTCTCTCCAAAAAAATTTTATAACATAAAAAATGATTTCTTTTCAGCAAGCTTGATTAGTTTAAGGACAGGATAATATCTTTATCTTTAAATAAAGAAAGGAAAAAGATTTTTAATTTTTATTATTTGAATGCGCGCGTTTATAAATTTATGTGTAACAAAAAAATTTTCCCGTGATAAAATCTCTCTAATTGATGAAATTATTTTTTTTGAAATAATAATTCACTGATTAGTTTTGAAATGGATGACTACAATATTTGGACTAGTATGGACATAAATGAAGTTAATGTCTCTCATTTATTATGTGTTAAATATCCCAAAGATGAAAAATGGAAACAGATACTTGAAAAGCTCAAAGAAGAGAACTTGGAGTGTAGAGTTATTGAAAAAGGACGATTTGAAGGAGTTTGGTAAGTTTGCTTTTTTTCCTGAAATTTCCAATGAAATTTGGTTAAATTTAGGCTCATCCAATTGCAGCATCTCTCTGCCTCCCTGAAGATATAAATATATAACAAGTTGCTCCAAATTTTCAAACCCAGAAATTTATTAGCCAGTGACAATCCTTTATAATAAGCCAAATTATATGTTTGTATTTTTAGCTTGTAAGGACATGACCATTCCAAGTTATGGGGAAGTTGTCTAGGAAATTTGAAAATACACATATGGGTTCTTTCTTCATTATTTTATTCAAGAACATCTCAAGAAGGTTGCTGGAAATTGTTGAAAGAACCTGTTTGAAGCCCTCCTATATTGACAAGAGCATAAATGATATTGCTATTGGACCTAACACCTAAGATCATTCATTAATTATATTAGATTCAATATTATTTATTTATATTTGGAAGTGATTCTTTACAACTTGCAATTCTATTGGGCAATTTTATTTTAGACCATTCAGCAGTTATTAGAAGGCTTAATATT